CCCCAAAACCCCAAAACCCCAAAACCCCAAAACCCCAAAACCCCAAAACCCCAAATAAATAAAATTTTATAGATTTTTAAATAAAAATATAATTTGAATTAATGTCTAAGGCTGACTCTACAAAGCCAACTGGGCCAAACTTGATCAAAGAATATGATGACCTCAAGAAGATCCTCAAGAGCTCAGATGGGAGAGAAGTATATTCACACCTGATCGAGTGCTTCAACGCTCTAATCCTGCACTACCCAGATGATGCTCTTGACAAATTTGAAGAGGTTTCTTACCTTCTTAAGGATGAACAAAGGGCCCAATTTGCCAAACAGTTCCTAAACTTTGATAATAAGAAAAATTTTAAGACAATGACTGAATGCCAGAAAGAATATGTCGAGAAGATAGCAGTATTATTCCCACCCAAGCCTGAAGAAGGGGGTGATCCAGATGAGGCCCCTGAGGCTCCAGCAGCTGGAAAAGTATCTAACTTTTTCTCAGACTGTGAGATATTGCAATGGGCTGGAATTGGCTTCGGAGAAGACGAAACTTACAGACTCCAAGCATCCCTCACTAAGCTCAGTATTAAATCTGGATCAGAGAAAATCAGACTTTGGGGTAAAATTTATGGGACAGAGAAAGACTACTACATAGCAGAAGGCTTCATCCCTGGCACTGGCGAAGAAGACGAAGACAAGCCTAAAGGCCTCGAAGATAGAGGAACAGGAGTAAATGATGCAGTATATTGGGTAACTAATGACTCTCTTTCAGAATGGACCATGCTTGCTGATGCCTCTCCAGCCCTCTTGAAGGCAACAAGAAGCACCAAAATTAAGTTCACAGGAGATTTGGAAAGAGATATAATAACAAATCCATTCTTCTTTGGACAAGAAAAGCATTATCTAAGAGCTCAGATAGCTAGAATCTCTCATTCCACATCAATAATGCCGGGAGGTCTTCATAAATTAACCGAAGATAATCCAAAAGAGGTCGAGGCTATTGAATTTGAGGAGGAAAGCAAGGCATACAAACCTTCAACAGAAACTCAATCTGCCCTCTCGAATTGGGTCCATGCTAAAAAGTCTATCCTGAAAAACAATAGAGTCTCACATTTAGATCCAGAAGGAGATGAATTTGGAGATAAAGAACCAGAAGAAATCGCAAAAATTCAAGATGCTAGAGACCCTCCTGAGCCACGTCTAAAACCTCTTACAAAAGATGTCTCTCAAAGTGGAGAAGATTCAGCTTGGACTATAAGACTCTACGGCGATCAAATCGCTACTCCTGGTCTCAAAAAACAATCTAATCACTACGGAGTGGTGGTTGTCCGCTCCACAGTTTGGCCAGGAGCTATGGCTTGTTGGAAATCAACTAAGTACCTCCAAATATACATTGGAGATGGTTTGAAGAACGAAACAAAGACTTATTACCCTACCTTCCCTCCAGAGATTCCTTCAGACCCATCAGATCTCCCTGAAGTGGCTGAGCCAAACCCAAAGGAGGCTCCACCACAAGAAGAAGAACCTGCACCAGAGTCATAAAATTCAATATTTTAAATAGAAATAGGGGTTTTGGGGTTTTGGGGTTTTGGGGTTTTGGGGTTTTGGGG